GGCCAGACCAGTTGCCCCTGATCAGGGATGTGGGGGAGCATGCAGTGGAATGAAGGGCTGGGGAGGGGGACGATGGAAGAGGAGGAGGAGGAGGAGGAGGAGGAGGAGGAGGAGGAGGAGGAGGAGGAGGAGGAGGAGGAGGAGGAGGAGGAGGAGGAGGAGGAGGGAAGGAGGAGGAGGAGGAGGAGGAGGAGGAGGAGGAGGAGGAGGAGGAGGGCGTGCGGAAAGGCCAGAAGCCTTTTGGATGCCTCTCGGAGTCTCTTCGGATTTCTTCAGAGAGCTTCTTGGGATCCTCTTGGGGTGTATTTGGGGTCTTCGCAGTCCCGGGGCCTCTTTGGGCGTCTTGGGTGCCTCTGGGGAGCCTCTCGGGGGCCACTTTCCTTGGCCGCGCCCCGCTCGAAAAGTGCCAGCATGGCCTTCCAGGGCCCCTGCATCCTTCCACGCCAGTCGTTGAAAGTAGGTATTTTAAAAGTATCCACTTGAATATATATATATATTATATATATATATATATATATATATTATATATATATACATATATATATATATATACAAGACTGCATTGGCGCTTCGCGCCATGCACCTTGGTCCTTCAACCCTTGCGCGCGTTGGCGTCTAGCGCGGCCCTCCACGGTCTTTGAACCGCGGCCGGTTCGCGCCCAGTTCCTGGACCTGCACCTTACTTGCTCGCGCCTTCGCTCTGCTGGTCCGCGCGCCACTGCGACTCCATGAGAATGTTCCAGCGGACCGATCAGCGGCGATGAGAGCGGCCGTGGAGGCTCCGGAAAGACAAAACGTCGGACAGAAGGGGCGGGAAAGAAGTGGAGGACGATTTAGGGAGGCGCGGCGAAGGGAGGAATATCATGAGGTAACGTAAGGTAAGGCACGCATACGAATATACAGAATGTGCCGTATGCGACAGCTTAAAAATGTAAGCCAACGGCTACGGATGCATGTGTGCGAACACGTGTGGAAAACAATGTTTCCTTAATGACTTGGAAGGGCCCTCGTGAAACCTCCATGGAACGATTATTCTGGGATGCGATAGGGCATAGGGCAGCAAACATGCAGGCAACGTACCGGATTCTGGAAATGCTAAGGACATCTACCGAATTCCGGGGAAATGTGCCGAATCTCGGGTTCGCAACCGATTTCCCGGGAATTTGGTTGCGAACCGGGGATTTCAAGCATTTTGGTGTTTTGCGTGGGATGCCACTGTCTGGCAAACAACGGAGCAGCGCAGCGAAGCCGTTCCGGAGGTGGCGGTCAAGTGGGGCGATTCAGCAGTTTTGAAGCCTCTTGGGGGGCCGTTTTGGCTGCCTTTTGGAGAGCCATTTTGGGGCCTCGTGGGTTCTTTTTGGGAGTCCTCGGGGCCTTTGGAAGCCTCTTGGGGCCTCTTGGGGCCCTCCTGGGGCCTCCTGGGGCCCACTTGGGGCGGAAAGTTAGATGTTTGTACTTTTGAACGCCCTGTGGGGGCTCGTTTGAAGCTTTCTCGGGGCCCTCTTGGGCCTTCTTGGGCGCCTCTTGGGCTGTTTCGGGGCGCTCCAGAGCCGTCTTGGGGCCGTGTTGGGGCCGTTTTGGGGGCCCCCCGGGCCATCTTGGGGCGCTCTTGAGGGCCTCTAGTTCTGTCTTGGAGCGTCGGAAAGCTAAAATGGCGAGAAAGCAGAAAACATCGAAAAACACATTGGAAAATTGACCATTTCGGCCTCCCGGGGCCGTCTTGGGAGGCTTCTTTGGGGCCGCTTGGGGCGTCTTGGGGGCTCCTGAGGCTGTCTTGGGGCTATCTTTGGCGTCTTGGAGCGCTTTGTGCCTGTCTTGGAGCGCTCTTGAGGCACTCGGGACCGCTTCAATGGGCGTCCGGAGGGTCCCAAAGCCCCAGGATCCCAGGAGTCCGGTTTGGGGGGGGGGGGGGGGGCGGGGGGGCGGCCGGGGTTTGTAAAAATATAGTAAGAGGAAGGATATATATATATATATATATATATATATATATATATATATATATGGATATCCATATCCCAATCTACCTTGGGCGCCCTCCTACCTCAACAGTCGAGCGGTGTTCCCTCCCTCTTTTCAGGGGGTGGGCGGAAGCCCAATCTCGCAGGCCTAGAGATTGACACCAACACCAGTTTCGGCGGTGTGCCTCCACCGAGGGAAGAAGATCCCGATCTCGGCGATGGTGGTGATATTCTGGCTTCCAAAGTGGCCGAACTGTTACCATCAACACCAAAAATCTAGGATCACCTTCCCCCTGTGGAGGCAACCCCCTGTCTTGGTGTTGGCGCCAATTTCCAGGCCTCCGACGATCCACTTCCAGCGCCTCCCTACCTCAGGTGTCTGCACACTTCGGCCGACCGACGCGTACCTCGACGGCGACGACAAACGGCGAAGACCCCAGAGGGGCGGGCACTACGCGCACTCGGCCCGGGAGCCTCGCCGAGGGCGTGGACCATTGGGCGCCCCTGGATGCAGGCGTTGCTCTCCCCTGGGCCATGCGCCCCCGTCGTCGCCCCCCAAGGAGGAGGAGGAGGAGGAGGAGGAGGAAGAGGAGGAGGAGGAGGAGGAGGAGGAGGAAGAGGAGGAGGAGGAGGAGGAGAAGGGGGAGCAGCATCGTGCATCCTTACTGCCAGTCTTGATTGTAAACTCACCACCCGCCAAACCACCCCAACCCAACCCACAGACTGCAGTTTGCCCTCCACTTCCAGGGGGGGGGTCGGGGAACATTCTGTAAAAACACACGGAACCCGTACCCCCCCCCTCCCAACCCGAAATTCGGGTCAAACTTGGGCCTTCGGGTTGGGGTTTGGGGTTGTCTGGTAGGTAGTCATAAAACGACGCCGAGCACGCCTGCGGGCACGAAATCTGCTGCATGCAGCTGGTCTTTTTGGCCCCGCCGCCGGGCCCACTCCTCGATACATGGGCGCCTCCCGGCGCCGGGAGGCGCTGGGAAAATCAGCCACGCCAGCTGATTCCCTGCCCTGCCCTTTGCTATCCCCCCCCCCCTCTCGTTCCCCCCGACCCCGGGCCATGCGCCCCCAATCGCCGCCCCCGAGCATCGTGCATCCCTGCGGCCAGCCTTGACTGTGAAACCGCCGCCGAGCACGCCCTGCGGGCACACCTGCAGCACCCCGCGCCCGTCCCGCGCGAGCCGGGAGGGCCTGGACCCCTCGCGCCTCCGGCGGCTCCAGCTGGCGCTGCTGGCGCACGCCTGGCGCGACCAGGACCGGCTCCCCGCCGCTCTGCTTGGCCGGCCAGGAGGCTCGGTATCGTTTCACCGATCCCCATCCCCATCCTCCTCCCCGTCGAGGCCCCCGCCAAACCTACCCCCCCAGTTGGGGATACACCCCTCGAAACCCGCAGGGGACGGCCTATGTCCCCATCCAGGGGGGTCCATCGGCCAGTGGGGCCCAGGCCACGCCGCTGGGGATGGGGATCGGTGAAACGATACTCAAGGAGGCGGATCTGGGGCGACGCTAGTGGAGAGGCCGAGCTTGGAAGTTCGAGGCCGTCTGGCCTTTTCGCGGGTCCTCGTCGGCTCTCCAGCCTCGGGGTGGTCTCCAGCGGCTGCGCCTCGCCGAGGGCGTTCCCGGGGTGCCCGGATCGTCCCGAGCGGCCGCTGGAAAGCCGAGTGATGACACGAAAACCAGACGATCGGGGCAGCGCGAGGGGGGCATAGGCATAGGGGTGGGGTGCATCGACCCCCAATCGCCCATTGATCGCCGATAGGGGTCCGATAGCCCACCCCGCCCATGACCGCGTGGCTTCGGGGCCTATCGCCGATCAATCGGCGATGTGCCGCCGATTCCAGGTCGATTCAGGAGGGAAAGAAACACACAGACACAATTAATCGTCGATCCCCAGGAAAATATAGGAAAATATGGGAATTGGGCGGGAAGACAAAAACCCAGAAAATATGGGAAAATATGGGCAATCATTTTATTTGTGTGTCTTTATTTGTGTGTCCCAGGGCCCCTTCATCGATGTCCCCCCCTCATGCTAGTCCCAGTCGCCCCCTCATCGTTGCCCCTCAGCGGGGGATGAGCCCGCAGATCTGGGCGCACAGTCGAAGCCGACCACAGGGATGGGTGACTTGCCCAAAAGGGTACCCCTGCAGCCTTGCCTCGTCGCTCCGTCCTTGACCACCCTCGACGGCCAGCCCCGCTCGAGGAGCCTCGACGTGGACGTCCAGGGGGCTTGCATCCTTTTCGAGCACCCTCGCTATCACTCTCGACTGTGTAGTAGGCTCGCGCCCTGTCGACTGGCGGTGACCCCGCCGCCGGCGTTCAAGGTTGAACGCTGCGGGCGACCCAGAATCGGCCCATGGTTGGACTAACCGGCGTTTCGAACACGGCCGATCGTTCAAGGTTGAACGATCCGCCAGCGTTCAAGGCTGAGCGCTGCCGACGACCCTGAATCGGCCCATCGTTGAACTATCCGGCGTTTCGGAAACGGCCGATCCTTCAAGGTTTAGAGATCCCCGCGGTGTCCAAGACCAACGCCGAAGTCGGCACGGCACGAACCTGCTGTTAGCAAGGAGCCGTGACGGCAGTCTTGTTTGCGTATCCCACCCCCGGGACCGTCGAACGACGGCGCTCAGAACAGATTGCCGGCCCTGGGGAAGTGGTCGAGATGCCCAGGGGCCGATGTCACGAGCAAAACACTGCGACGTCGGAGGAGAGGGGAGCTCCTCTTCTTCCTCTTCTTTCTCTTCCTCTTCCTCCTCCTCCTCCTCTTCCCCTTCTTCTTCCTCCTTCTCCTCCTCTTCCTCTTCTTCTTCTTCTTCTTCTTCTTCCTCCTGCTCCTCCTGCTTCTCCTGCTCCTCCTCCTCATCCCTCCTGCGGCATGGGGGAGAATGTCCCCTGTTGACCCTCAGAAGACATGCTGGGAGCCCTTCCAGGACCTTTACAGGTGCTGTCTGGCGCTTAGCTGGCGGGTTCGCCGCCCTCCTCACGCTACCGGCCACGAGCCGACAACCGAGATGACGTCCCCGCGGGCAACCA